TTTTGTCGGTCGCATAGTGTGCAAGCCCAGGGTTGAGCGCGACCCCGCGGCGCAGGCCGCCTGTGGGGTCACGCCCAACGTAGTGCTCCAGGCCCTCCAGCTGCAGGGTCCCGTTGGTCTCCTCCACCAGCTGGTACAACCGCGCCAGCACCTCAACACTGGCCAGGTTGCCGCCATCGCACTGGTCATAGCACACCGAGAGATCCAACGCCAGACCCACGAGGTCGTGGATGAGATAGGCGGTGGAGTCGATGGCGATCTTCTGCTCCGTGGCCCACTTGGTCTGGCGGGCGTCGAACGTGCCGCCGTGGTCACGGACGTACTTGAAGAGCCACAGCGCCGACCTCTCGCCCTCAAGGGGGAAGTCCTCCATCGGCTCTGTGCTCATCTTGCTGACAGCATTTGCAAAGTCACACCAGCGACGCCCGCCTGGATCGTAGGAGACGGGGGCGAGCACTCGGGCGTCACCGCCGTCGGCAGCCGCACCTCCTTCCACCACTTTGCTCAGGTAGTCGGGTCGGCACGCGGCGATGACTTCACCATTTGGCATACGGTGGAGCGCCAGCTCGCCCATCACCTTGTCTCCCGTCTCGAGCTCCACAGGGTCTCCACGGCGCACGGAACCGATCGTGACAAGGGACACCCAGCGGCCTCCGTCATTCACCAGCTCCGCATCCGCGTCGAGGACCTCGGGAGCGCGGGTGCCTCCCACGAGGAGGTCGCCGCCCTCGGGGGGCTCAAGAGGCGGCGGCAGAGCCGGCAGCGGACGCCCACGCGCACGCCGGTAGATGCCCTCGTGCCACTCCAACGGCTGCCTCTGCCCCATGGCGTCGGTGTACGCCGTCGGGCCCACGACCTCCCCGCCCTCGGACACGGCGAGCTGGTGCCCCTCATTGATCAGCTCGAGGAGCCGCTGCTCGTCCGGGTAGTCGCGGAACCTGTAGGTCTTGCCTCTGAGGAAGAACGGGAGGGTGCCGTCGGCCGGCAGGATGGCCGCGCGGCACGGACCCGAGTCGGGATCCCCAGCCATCACGCTCTCTATGTACATGTCTCCATCGGGGGTGTACACCACCCAGTGCTGAGCGTCAACCTGAAACAAAATTTGACGCTCATGCCACACGTCATCCTCCGTGTAGAACACGGCCACATAGCTCCCCACGAGGAGCTCATTGCAGAACTCCTCCTCCACGGCGGCGTGCCCTGTCTCCAGGAGCAGGGCGGCCAGGCCCTGCCAGCGCGGCACGCCCGGGGGAGCCGAGGCCGTCGGACGCGACTCCCGCAGGGGAGCTCGGCGGCGCCTGGGCTCGGTCGCCATCTCGTCGTCGACAGGCGCAGAGACGGCCTCCAAGCACCAGGACGATGTGGCCCACCACCGCGCCTCCCGCAAGGTGCCACACGCCCTCCCTCACGTCCTTGTCCGCCTCGGGTGGACACTCCGGCAACTGTGGGCACGAGCAAGTGCAGGCTGGCGCCTGTGGGCAGCTCACGCCCTCTGGCGGACCACTCCAGTTGGTCAGGGCCTCACCAGCGGCTGCCGCCGCCGCGGCGGCCAGGCCGGCCGCGTCCGCGGCGGAGTAGGCGGCCTGGGCGGCCGCCTCAGCACCTGCGTGGCCCGCCCCCTGCCAGAGCCCGGCCTCCTGCAACTGCGCCCACCACGCCGGCTGCGGCGTGTCGCGGACGCAGCGCCAGGGCCATGCACTGCCCGGGCCCCAGGAAGCCCCCCTCCTGTATGAGAGAAAAGCTGCGGAGCGAATAACTCACTTCTACTCTCGAATCCCATGCAGAGCAAACCCAGGAGGAGGAGGAGGAGGAGGATGAGGAGGAGGAGGAGGAGGAGGAGGGGGAGGAGGAGGGGGAGGAGGAGGAGGAGGAGGAGGAGGAGGAGGAGGAGGAGGAGGAGGAGGAGGAGGAGGAGGAGGAGGAGGAGGAGGAGGAGGAGGAGGAGAGGGGGAGGAGGAGGAGGGGGAGGAGGAGGAGGAGGAGGAGGAGGAGGAGGAGGAGGAGGAGGAGGAGGAGGAGGACTGGTGGGCCCAAGAGGAAGGCACCAGGGAGCTCCTCGGGGCCACGGCGTGGCGGCCACGGCGAGCCTCCCCCCCGCGCACACGCTCTCCCCGCCCCCCGGACTCACGCAGCAAAGCCCCGGCCTCGGCTCTGCAGGGCCCCCCCCCGCGGCGCCCGAGGAGCCGGGCTCGGAGGATCGCGCCGCAGCGCCGACGCATCGACGCGACGTCGGCGGCGCGTCGGCGTTGCACCGGCGACGCCAGCGTGGAGAGCGTCGGGCTCCAACTCGAGCCGCATCGCCGAGGCGGCGCGAGAGGCCGACCTTCATCCACCGGGGCCGACTCCGGGAGGGCCAGAGCCCAGAATGACCACCCCCCTCCCCGTGGCGCTCCGGGGGTTGCGGGGCTCTTCACTGTGGCGCCCTCCGGATGCACACCCACTCCGTGCAGCGCTCAAGCGGTACAGAGGCCGTCCCTTGACGCTTGGAGGGTGCAGACCGGATGCAGAGCCCTCTGCCTTTGGCGCTTAAGAAATGCTGAGCCCCCCAGCCCCTGTGGCGCTCTGAGGGTACCGAACCCTCTCCCTGTGGCGCTCTGAGGGTGCATGCGCAGGGACCCCCTGCTTGAGGCAGCGGGAATGCGGAACTCCGTGGCTGCGGCGTTCTCAGGGCACACAGGGGACGCCCCGTGCTTCGGCTTCCCCTCGGGTCGGACATGAAGGATCGAAGGGAACTCCGCGGAGGTCTTCGTAAAGACGATTGAGCTATGAAGCCCGATAGCCATCAAGCCCGACTAGGCTGGACTGCGCGGGTGCTTATGCGCATCGAACCAACATAGACAGGATTATGCCCGCTCTGGCCTCGGACAACCAGCGCCGATGCTGAACTAAACCTCCCAGGAGCTGCGTCCTAAGAAAGGGGGGGATAGCAAAGGGGGGTTAGCGAATCTTTGGTTGACACAAAAGGGGGTCCAGCTGAAAGGGGGTGGTGCAATGGACTTGGGGCAATTGTATTGCAAATGGATTACGCCAGGGAATTGTATTACATTGTATTGCAACTAATGCGTTGCACTCGAAGATCCAGCAATACGCTTGCGCCCAGGAATGTATTGCACGACCCACATCTAATGCAAACCACAAATCTACTGCACCGCATCTATTGCACCACCCCCTTGTAGCTGGACCCCCCTTTGGGAGGGAGGAGGAATCAGCTCACGCACCTGCCTTTTCCGGCACCCCTCGGCGCCGGAGGCGCCTCGAAGAACACGAGCCCGTCGGCGGGGCCGAGACCAACCGCGTGCGGCAACTCTCGGAGAACCCCGTCCCCTGTCCCCGACCCGCTTCCCCTCGGCAGGGGAGCGGGAGCGGGAGCGGGAGCGGGAGGCTGGCGTGCGCCAGAGCGCCCCCTTCACGGGCTGCCGGCAAGCAGACTCACCGTCTAAAGAGGCTCCAAGAAGCCCACAAACGGCCTCCACGAGGCCACGAACGCGCAGGCAAACGCCTGCAATGGCACAATACGGACCTGCGGAGTGAGCGAAGCGATTAAAGAATTCCAAGCACCCAGGAAAGTATCGCAACAATGTCGAACGACTATCGCCTCCCAGGGCCCGACACGTGAGAACCCTCCAGTTTCAGTACTGTCCTGGTGCTCGACGTTCTTTCTGGTGATCAAGGCCAAAGTAGGTTGAAACATCACAGTGTAAGTGATGAACGCGTCGCTCCAGCGTGTCAGCGGGCGGCCCGGCAACTTTCCAATCGAGGCGGGGGCGGTTCCGCATGGGCGGACGCAGAGAGGGAGTGTTCTCGCCCAGGGCGCACTTTGGGGCCAGGACGGGGCGCCACCAGGTCGACGTCGACGCCGTCGTCGGCGTCGGCGCCGACGACGGTGACGCTGTGCGGGATGGCCCCGTGGTGGCCAGCGCGATCCTCCAAATTGTGTCAGGGACGATTCCAGGGTGGCCCCAGTATTGGCCCCCAAGGTGCCCCGTCCGAAATCGGCCAGGATGGCCCAAAAAGGCCTCAGAGCGGTTCCAGCGTGCAAGCACCATGGCCCAACGCTACCCCAAGGCCCAAGGTGGCCCCAAGAGATGAACACATGGCCCGTCAATGCCGCTGAAAGGCCCCGATATAGCACAAGAGGCTACGAAGACGAGCCCTTAATAGCAAGATTTCGATTAAACGACCAGGCCTCCCCAGGCGGGCGCGCGCGCGCCTGACGGTGGGGGTCGGTGGCTCAAGTCCCACGGCCGCGCGCCCGCCTCCTCCGCCTTCCGGTTTCTCTTCCCTTCTTCTCACCCTCTCTTCCCCTCTGGGCTATCCGCACTAATCGGCAGGCGTCCGTACCCGCGCTCGGCGGTTCAACCCCCCTCACCCTGACTTTTGGCCAGTGCGGCGGGGCCAGACAGGTGGTGTACAGCATGATTATTGTTGAAACGACCAATGCATGGAGCCGACGCTGTCAACTGACTACTGTCTGACTGGCTGGAAAGGAGCCGCGCGCAAAATACCTGGGAGACAGTCAAGGTCTTTCCAGTGCTCAGACTGCTGATGGGGTGGCTGGTCCTGGCGAAGCCGCGGCGACCTGATCACTTGGTGATGTAGCATCGAACAATCAAGATTAATGGGCCAACTCGCAGGGCATTGTTTGAACACCTGTCGCACCAAACACAACACTTGCAAACAGTTCTACCACAACACGTGCGACTCGTGAAGAAACAGCCCAGCAAGTCTCGGGCCCTGAGCCCTCGCCAGAACAAACTCCAAGCCAAGAGACTCTCACATAGCCTCGGGAATGAGAGTCAAACCGATCATGCCGTGCAACTCTTGTTGGCCTTCGGCGCCTGGCAAGCACTGCGACAGGGGCTGCGGCCAGAATGATCGCAGTGGGTAACAATGCCAAAACACTAGAAGCCAAGCTCCAGCCTTCCTGACAGGGGGGAGAAAAAGGCCCTGGGGCAGTGGAGGAGGGGGTGGACCCGCGGATGAGGCGACGGGAGAGGCACCTTGGACAGCTGCTCCATGCCCAGCCTCTCCAGCTCAGCGTAGGCATCGCTGGCGACGGCGACACTCTCTCTCTCTCTCTCTCTTTCTCTAGATGGTGCCTGCCTGTCCGCCTGTGAGCAGCGGGATCATGGAGAGGCGCGTGCGAGGGAGGATAATGAAGGGGGTGCCTCCCCACAGTGGCAACACCGAGACTAGACTTCGCCGCGCCAAATTAAAAGGTGCAGATCGAGTGTAGATGTCCAAAGGTACGCTGCCAGCGTAGCGACTAGGTTGAAGAGCACATTCATAAGTTCACAGACAGGCTCTCTGCAAAGACCAGATGACACCACGAAGCAACCTATCCCAGTCACGCAGCGAAATATGTTAAAGAGATGCGTCAACTTCGCGCAGACATGTGTTCCACCAACAACCACCCACTTGACGACATGTTCAAACCACCGGCGCCGACAACACCCCATGTACGCACACACCGACGGCAACTGGCACGACGATGTCCGACGGCAATGCGTGCGAATCAAATACATCAAATAATCTAACCAGGGAGTCCCAAGCTAAGCCAGAAATGCCTAAATCGAGTGCGAATGCTAGTGCGAGAAATTAACAATCTCGCCATATGAAGGGCCCGGCTGCGAGTAGCGAGGGGGAGATCCCCATGATCGTCGTTTTGTTCAGGCCAAGGTTCGCTTCAGCAGTGTGCTTATCGCAGGTCCACTCGCGTAAGGTTCCCAATTTGCCTCGCAAAGTTTTGACTCGCACAACGGGGGGCTGACCTACTGATTTCAATGATAGTGCTTAAGAGCTACTTCCATTGTGCGTTTGTCTCACTGCGTGCGCGCAACTCTGCGGCGGTAATTTGTTTCCACAACAAAGCATCGAAATCATTATTACATCGTACTGTGACGCTGCGGGAACAAGAAGGAAGAACGGGACAACCACATGCGGGCGCCCCCATTGAGGCCTTGGGTGAAGTTCCCTGTCGGGCACGACCGACGTGAAAGGTGTGCCGAAACGGGGCGCAAATGGAAACTCCCAAGGGCGCAAACCGTGCCAGAGGTGTGCTCGACATGCGCGGAAGGACCACACTTAAGTTCTCAAGTTTGTGCCGTAAGCAGACCTACACGCGGGGGCACTTCAGACTACGACTGTGCCGAGATGGGCGATGGACCGCAAATCAACGCGCCGGCAAAACAATTGGTTGTCGCAACGTGCCAAAACAAATGTGATAAAGCACACAACGGACAACCGCAATTGACTTTCAATATAAGTATGTTTAGCTTACGCGCGCACACTTACTCGACATCCTCACCAACACCATCGCCGTCATAATCGCAAACGTCATCACCAACCGTCATCAACAATCACCAAAATTATCATGCTCGTCCTCGTCGCCGATGTCGTCGTCACCACCGTCACCCACCTACCCAAGTCATGGACCTGTACCATGAATAGACCTGCATCATTGAGCCATGTGGGATAGTCTAACATATTGCGGATGGGTGAGTGAGGCGATCTCAAATTCTTAAACGATTGCGCAATTCAACATCGAAATCGGCCTGTCTGCATACAGCACACTCCACAACGTCTGGCATCTAGATTGCTCGAGATATGTACTCCCATACGCACACCTATGTATATACATACGTGAAAGCATGTATATTGCGCCGCGTAGCCAGTGCCACATATGCTCTGCTGAAGAAAAAAACAGATCCAACTCCTCCCGAGCCAAAACTTATCGGGACGCCCTGGCACACTGCAATTCACATACGGTTCTGCCACATCGTTCATTTTCCAAACGCAATCATACCTTTCCAGGCCAACTCGACATCGCCCGTCCTCATCCCTGTCAAGTGATGCCACGCACGCACATCTTCTGCCTCAGCAGATTACTGTTTGCTTGCCCCATTCACGAATACCACACGCAGGCGCACATGTCGTCATCATACCAGCGCGAACTAATTCTGCAACACTGTCAACATACACCCACCCTCAAATTTCCACTGGCAAAACTTGCAGGCATTCTGCCTGTGCGTACTTGCCGGAAAAAACGGTCAATAACAAAATAAAGTTGAGTCTCTCGTCTAGAAGCCGCATTCTCACCTCACCACCTGTGATCCAGCATGTGCCCACTGCGGAAACCCATGCCACACATAACACCTACAGGCTGCGCGCGCCGCCAAGCGCGCGTGCCGAAATCCTTCCAAGACAATTATTTGACGAAGCAGTTCAAGGCAGAACTATTCAACCACATCTGGAAACACACAACTTGTTTTTTCAAGCACAACTGTGCCGAATTTATTGAAATTCTGAGCGCGCGTACGTTCTCACCATCACCGTCATCAGCGCAGCCGCACCCGCATCGGCTGTGCCAAACCATGCTGCTCTGCGAATGAACTTGCGCGTGCCAAGGCGGACGCAAAGATGCGCCAACCATTGCCAAACACATCTGCAATCGTGGCGTCATGGATGTTATAAAACGAATTGAGGGTGGTGAGGATGCGATGTTTGCGCGAACAATGGAGATAACGACTAACGGCTCACAATCGTCAAATGCACCCCATACATTGCACCACAAAGAGGTCACACATATACTCCAACAACCCGCTTTTTGGGGACCGCGCTGGCAAATATCGGCAATCCATCTGAGTTCATTCAAGGCTAAAGCCGAAACGAACTTCTTCATTGTTGGGACGGATGAGGCGGAAACGGGTACTGACAGAAACGGGTCCTGGATCCCGAGCCGTCTTCCCCATGACCAGTTCTTGATACTGCTATGTTTTATGGCAGTCCTTGGGCTCGGCTCAGGCAACGTTTCACTCAAGACACTGTTGCTTCATGGCGATGGCGGCCCTGACATCCGCCGATCTGACTTTCCACAGATGCCCCGACCGCTTCCACGGCGGTAATTTTCAGTCCTGGATGCGCTTCTGATGGCCCCAAGGCCAGAACACGGCCACCCGAAGCACACAAGCGTGGCAAACCACCTGGTTAAAAAAAAACCGTCGGAGATCTGGATCTGCGCCCTGGTGATGCAGGACGAAGGGAAGACGCGGAGGCGAACGACCGCCCGTGCGCACACCCACTGGAAGAAGACAACGCAGGAGAGGAGGAGGAGGAGGAGGAGGAGCAGAAAGACGAGGAGGAGAAGGAGAGGCAAGAGGAGAAGAGGGAAGAGGTGAGGGAGGAGTGAGTAGGAGAGAAGCGAGAGGAAGAAGAATGAGGAGCTGTTCGTGGCGCCCCCCTTCAGGCTTTGGCCTCCCAGGCCCGTTCGACCCCGTGAGCGTCTGCCCCTGCGGCACCTGGGCGCCGGGGGCGGGGAGTGAGGCCCCTGCTCCTACAGCGGGCTGCTGCGATGAGACATCCAACTGTAAATTAGGAGGCAACTACTGGGAGATTTTCGTAGGAAAGATTGAAGAGGATTAAGCCCCATTTGGGAGCTGTTACGCCGAAAAGGGCCTCGGACTAAGCAGGACTAAGACGGATTAAACGGGATTAAGCGGGATCAAGCCGGATTGCGTAAGCGGTATCAAGCTGGATTCTGCCGGATTTTGGACCAGGGCGAAAACAGAATTTGACCTCCCAGGAGTTGCATCCGAACAGCTGTAAGGCTGGGGCACACTACTCGTCGATCTTCGAGTGCCATCACGCACAATGTCGTGGACATTCTCCGGGGTAGGCCCGCGAGCACGACACGCTAAGCAACAATGCATATACAATATATTTCGGGCAAAGACTTGCGCACTTTGGTACACAGCAGGCACAAGCGATAAGGCATTCTGCTGTAGGACACCCAAAAAATGTTCAAATACTAGGCCAAATCGTTTCAGAAGCTTGCCGACCCGTTTCAAAGACCGGCAAAACTGTTTTGGAGATCCGCAAGACTGGCAAAGACAAATTCGGAGACGGGTCGCACCCGCTTCAAACAATGCCACACGCGTTGCAACGATTGGCAACAACCGTTTTAGATAATCCGCCAGATTTCCCCAGATTACTTCAGAGATTGCGCGAAAAAAGAAGCAACGGACAATGATGACGACGCAGAGGATGCAGAAGTGGGGAGGACCAAAGAAGCAGTGCAGCGAACGAAAAGCGTTAGAGAACCAACGCTGGTCATTTCAAAAGCTACTTGCAACCAAGTCAAATGGAAATTATTTTCCACGATCTTGCAAGCATGTTTTGCTCCCGTAGTTTGCGGGAACGGTCGGGATGCACTAATCGACCGTTGCACGTTGCCAAAGCCGCTGATGAATACTCTGAACGACGATCCATAATTCAACATTCTGTTAAGCCGTTCGGGTGGCGGCGGTGGTGCAAACGATCACCGCTGCCGCAACAACTATTATGACGACCGTGTCCTGCCGACGATTACTGACTTTCCTGGAGGATCTTAAAAATGCAGGAAATGATGTTCACCAAACAATGCGTTATAAGGAACGAAAAGCGGCAACAACAATCTATGACGGCATCACGCCTCGTGACGATAACGGCAACATTCAAACCGAATTATTATGTCCCAATGCCTTGAAAAATTAAAGGTTGGTTCAATCCTGTTCCTGTTGTCCTCCTCCTGTCCCCTGCTCCTCCACATGGTACTTTCCGAAATCTTGCTCTCCTCTGCCACCTCGAAATGCCTACCGGGCAAACCCGCTACCGCCAGGCCAGATCCTGGCCCAAACCAGACGGATCGACAAAGCCTAATCCAGCGATGCAGTTGCGACCCTTTTGCGACATGGATCGATGATGTGGCTCTCGAGCGAAACATAGGATCCAGACGAAAGCGTGGGGGCCACAGTGGGGGGAGGGGGGGGCGGAGGCCAGAGCATGACAACTACAATGGAGGCGGGAGTCGGAAGTGGGAGGAACTGGAAAGGCGGAGCGCAACCAGAACCAAAGACAACCGGCGGTTGGCATCGGACAACAGGGAGCGAAGTCGGAGACGTAAAGACCCGAATCGGCGAGACACAATAGGAGCTCGACCACAAGAACCCTTCCGCAAGAAACCCAACCTTGAGACCCCAGGACGCCCATTGCTTTTGGTGTGGGAACGTCACGCTCTCCGTAACAAAACCATCGACACCCAAGAAACCCAGGGCACCCTGGAGGCGAGCAAGGTGTTTCTTGGCATGGGCTTCCACTGCAGGAGCCGGAATCGGAGTGGTGGGAGCCAGAGTCAGAGCAGCGGACATCGAAATTCGGGCAGAGTGGAATTGGAGCCAGAAAAGCAAAAGGTTAGAGTCGAAACTTTTCTGGCCCCGGCGAACCAAGGCCACAAACGAGTTCCACGACGTAAATCTAAGAAACAGCCCCGAAACCCGAGCCACTCCTGAGCCCTAAGCGGTCCTTCTTTCAGCGTCTTGACTGCAATTCACGTCGGCGCTTCGACTTTTCTCCCCTTCGCTCGGCTGCCTTCCCGCTCTCCTCCCCCCTTGCCCCTTGCCTCCCTTCCTCTGCTCGGGCGCCGCCTGGGCGCAGATGGCACCGTCGCCCCGATGGGCTCGAGGCTTTCCCGCGGGAGGATGTGAAGAGCACGGGGAAGATGACTACCTACCAGACCACCCCAACCCAACCCGAAGACCCGAATTTCGGGTTGGGGGGGGGTACGGGTTCCATATGTGTTTTCTCGATGTTCCACGACCCCCCACAACTGGAAATCGAGGATAAATTGGGGCCTTCAGGTTGGGTTGGGGTGGTTTGGTGGGTGGTGAGAAGAGGCACCGTGCCCCACGGCTCCCCGACGCTGCACTGAAGTCGGCACCCCGGACGCACGCGCCGAGGCAGCTGTGTGCAGCGGCGTTTTTGTGCGGTCGAGCATATCTTGAGAAAACGCTGGCGCACTGGTCGCCGTTAGGTCAACAGCTCCCCGCGTCGCCAACGTGACGTTCAGACATGCCTTGGGGGGACACGTACTCCAGATTTCGTAAGAAAGGGAGGGGGGTCTCATTTCGGGGGGGGTCTCTTCCAGGCTATCTTGGAGGGCCTGGGGGGGTCTGGGGACGACGTTTTGGAGGGTTCTCCCACGGGGGAGGTCTGAAATGGCTTGTCTTGGAGGGTCCAGACCCCCTCACATTTGTTACGAAATCTGGAGTATCATGCTGGTCGGAAAATGAGTTAAACAAACAATCGCGAAATAGCACCCCTTGCGGCAGAAGACCCTGAACAGCTGTGCACAGCTACGATGCGGGCCACGAAGGGAGATCAGGATAGGGATAGGGGTACAGATAGAGGACTGGGGGCATACAAATATGTATATAGGGATAAGAACCAGGATGGGGGTGGGGATGAACATACGGATAGGAATATAGGAAAAGGAAGGAAATCGGAGGCCACGGGAGGCAACAGAAAGCCACAGAAGACAACGGGAGGCAACGGTAGGTCACGGGAGGCAACGGGAGACAATGGGAGCCAATGAGAGACAATGGGGGACAACGTCGCTCGACCAATTCCAGATCTGGCAGCGCCCCTCATGATTTTGGACAAGTTGAAATATAGATTCTTGCCAGACAGGTTGTTCAGGGAATCAAGTTCATGTTCAAGAGGCTATGTACAGCGCCTGTGGACAAACCTGTGCTCCCCGCCGCTGCACTGTGCCGGCTCACGTGCGCCCACGGACGACGGCACTGGAGAAAACGTCCTTCACGGGCGCTGTGCGTCGCAGAATCCCTCTCCCCTCCCCTTTCCAACACCTGGACGCCTCATCCTCCCCGTCGGAACCAGAACCGTTTTCGTCGTCGCCGTCGGTGGTGGTCGTCGCCGTCGCCGTCAGCGTCGTCGCCGTCGCAGTCGTCGTCCACGTCGTCGTTTGCTGGCTCGCAAGGGGGGAAGGCTTCTGCCCTCCCCGACTTTCGGAGGATGGGCTCTAATTACCCTCCCTGACTCTCTGACGTCCCCCCCTCTCTTTTTTGTTGTTGGGGGGGGGTGATTGAAGAATGCCGCGAACTTCTGTGGGGGCGGGCCCCCTCAAGCGCGCATAGAAGATGCCCTTTCGCACGTGGGCAGAATGTGCCATCATGGGCCCGAGCTTCGCTGCAATCAGACAAGCGGAGTACAGCAATCGTGCCACCGTGAGGAACGCATACAGCGGAGACCAGTCCACAAGTAACACAACCCTGAGGCCCCAGGACACCCCTTGCTTTTTGGCGTGGAAGCGTCACGCTTCCCATCGCAAAACCACCGAAACCCAAGAACACACGGGGCACCCTGGAGGCGAGCAGGGTGTTTCTTGGCATGGGCCCCCACTGGAGCGGAGTACAGCCATCGAGCCACCATACGGAACGCATAGTGAGGAACGGAGGTTATGTTTCCCCCATCGAACTTAAGGACCACATCCAAGAACTAATTCCGAGCACCCAGAAAAGTGTCGAAGCAGTGTCGAAACAGTGTGGAACGAGTGCCTCCCAGGACCCGAGACGTGAAAACCTCCGAGATTCGGTACTTTCCTCGTGCTCGAAATTCTTTCTGGTGGTTCAGGCCAAAGTAGGTTGGAACATCACAAGACGAAGGTACTACAAGTGGTAGTAGTAGTAGTAGTAGTAGTAGTAGTAATAGTAGTAGTAGTAGTAGTAGTAGTAAGTAGTAGTAGTAGTAGTAGTAGTAGTAGTAGTAGTAGTAGTAGTAGTAGTAGTAGTAGTAGTAGTAGTAGTAGTAGTAGTAGTAGTAGTAGTAGTAGTAGTAGTAGTAGTAGTAGTAGTAGTAGTAGTAGTAGTAGTAGTAGTAGTAGTAGTAGTAGTAGTAGTAGTAGTAGTAGTAGTAGTAGTAGTAGTAGTAGTAGTAGTAGTAGTAGTAGTAGTAGTAGTAGTAAGTAGTAGAAGTAGTAGTAGTCGTAGTAGTCGTAGTAGTCGTAGTAGTAGTAGTAGTAGTAGTAGTAGTAGTAGTAGTAGTAGTCGTAGTAGTAGTAGTAGTAGTAGTAGTAGTAGTAGTAGTACTCTTCAGGCCACGGCGGGCCTCGGTCACGAGTAGGCTGCACGATCTTGTCTGGGGAGCGGGCCGAACACCACGGCCCCTCCTGAGCTCGGCGTGGTCCTTGTCTCGGCGTCTTGGCTGCACTGCCGAGGCGAAGGATCGCCTTGAACAATGTTTGTCGTTTTCGTTTTGCGTTCGCGTTCCCTAGATGTGTCTTCAATCCGCCCCTGCTGCAAAACGAAATCGACACGAAAACGGTCCACGAAATCGCCAAAACACCACCGTGAAGGCCGAGTCCTGACCAAAGCTGAAGCACGAGCAAAAGATGCGCAAGCTATGCCCATGCGTCTGCTTCTCTGCAGCAGCCGCCTGATTTTCGCAGGGCGATCGACAATGGAGCGGTCGAATAAAAGTGGCGGCGAGTATAGATTGTGAGCGTTTTCTTTTAATTCGGCGTTGCGACATTGGGAGGAAGGGGTGGGAGGGGGGGGGTCTGGCTCCGGACCTCTGCTTGGTGCGACTGTTTGCAGCAATGCGTCCTGTTGGGGGAAGCTCCACCCGCTCGAGGCAGGCGCCCCAAAAACAGTCCAGATCTATTCCATAGGGGGGGAGGGGAGGGGGGGGAGGGGGTGCGAGGGTCCGCGCCGATCGGCAGAACAACGAAGAACAAAAAGGATCGCACTGCTGTGGGGGTGTAAGACGCGCGCAGACCCTTCGCATAAACAACTCCGAGCCCGAAACCGGGAGTGCTAGCCCGTCGGCGCACGGCGGCGTGCGATCCCCTCATGCCTCTGTACGTAGGTTTAGGTCGGGTATGTCCTCCTACAGGCACATGTTGGACGAACAATTAAACACACTCGAAACACACCCTAAACTAACCGAAACGAATCAAAGATCGTCCCCAGACTATTTCTGGATGGCAACTTTTGAATCTTCCTCCTGTAGAGGGACGCGCCCGACTTACAGCGTAGGTGGTATAACGATATGCTTCCTCTCCCGAAACCATGTTTTCCGTTCGGGGCAGGGCCCCCCTCCCCTTCCCCTGCCTGAATGTTCTGCTTTGGAGGGGGGCGAAGGGTTGGAGCGTCCAGTACGGCCCAAGATGGCCTCCGATGCTCCAAGATGGCCTCCAGGATGGCCGAGGATGGCTCTATCGTGCTTCCACCATGCTCCAATAAGCCCCCAAAGACCGCTCCATGATGGCTCCAAATGTTCGCGGAGGCCCCAGGCCCCCCCCCCCCCCAAAGAGGCCCAGATTCTTTCAATACACATAGGATGGAAATCCATGCGTGGTGCCGTCTCGCCTTTTCGCCTTCGATGGGCCCGGCCCCCACAACGGCCCCAAGAGCGACCAAGATCGACCCAACAGCGCCCGAAGAGGCAATTTTGATGGCCCCAGAGGGGGGAGCAAATCTAGGACCATTCCCCCACCTTTGATTGCCTCCAAGATGGCCCACAGAGGCCTTACAGGGCCCCCAAGAGGGCTCAAAGAGAGCAAGAGGCCCCACGACCCCCTAAAAGAGCCCCAAGAGGACCACCAGACCCCCAAACGAAACCTATGAGGGCTCCAAGTCGGCCTCGAGAGAGCCCCAAGAGGACCCCAAGAGGGCCTCAAGACTCTGGATGTCCGCCAGAGTCTTTGCCCTCATCCCCCTCGTCCCCCTCCCCCTCGTCCTCCTCTCATCCTCCTCGTCCTCCTCCTCGTCATCCATTTCGTCCTTGTCCTCCTCCTTGTCTTTGTCCTCGTCCTCGTCCTCCTACTCGTCCTTGCCCTCGTCGTCCTTGTCCTCCTCTTCCTCTTCTTCCGTATTCTTCTTCTTCCTCTTCTTCTTCTCCTCCTCCTCCTCCTCCTCGTCCTCGTCCTCCTAATCCTCTCGTCGTCGTCCATCTCATCCTCCTCCTCCTCCTCCTACCCTCCATTCTCCGCATACTCAATTCACCAAGGTTGCCCGCTTTGATTTGCTGCGTCACTTTTCCCTCAATTTCCCGGTAGCTCTCATGGACGGCGTTTCTGATGGGGCCGGTGGGGATGCGCCAAGCGTGAAGATCGACTGCCAAAAAGCAGCAAATCACCAGTGCACCCTGCGCCTCTGTGGGGGACGTGCTGACCTGGGCTGGCGCACACCCTGCTCGGCCAGGGCCCTGTCGCGAAGCCCGGACGTCCGCTGCATGGCTCCCGAGCCCGCGTCAGCCGAGGGCGGAAAAGGAAGAATCGGCCCCCCCTGGCCGCCGCTCGGACGCCCACTCCACGTGCATTCTTGTTCGGTTTCCTGCGTGCTTGTTTTGCTCGATGGTCCAGGATGGTCCTCGATGGCTCTCGCCGAGAAAACATGCACATGTCCGAGCGATGCCAAGCCCCACGCGGCTCTCTAACCCGTTCGGCCAGAGGGGACCGGCTGACCCCCCTTCGCGCCGACCCTGCTGCGCGAGCCCCGGCTCCGCCTGCCGTCCCCGCCGGCCCGCGCCTTCGGCGTGAGCCCAGCGTAGGGGTTCACTCCGGCCTGGCATGGTCTCTGAGGAGGGAGGGGCAGAAGGAACGACCAGAGGCCACCGCGCGCGAGGAGCTCAGGCTGTGGCCCCATGAGAAAGATGAATACAGCGAGGGAGAGAGAGATAGAGAAAGGGACAAGGCGATTCCCATCAACACTTCTGCGAAGGAATACATCTCAGAGGCGATTGCTTGCGCCGCCATGAAATCTTCGAACGGCCGTTGGACGTGTGACAGACTCAACGAACTGTGCGCTGGACGCGTCCGTCAAACATATCGCGACGCCACGGTCTCACAACCCACTTTCAGACTTGGCGATGAATGAGCCGTTTTTCGTCCCAATTTCGGTTCCAGTTTCAAGCAAGTTTCAGGCAAGTTTTCGTTCCCAAAGTTCGTATCTGGCGTGCTGCGGCCCTGGGGCGTCCTGGTCCAGGTTTCTAGCAGGCGAGAAACCATCATAAAAGCTAGCGGGACCTGGCGGCGAACGCAGGGCTGACAATCGAGGCAAGAGGCTCGCGAGCAGGCGACATCGAGCGCGCACTGCGTGACACCCTGCGCGTTTCAGAGGGGCCTGGGACACTGCACGCTCATTCCACACAGGCATCGCCGATGTGTTGGTGGATGCCACGACAATTGACACTCGAACAATCCTATCACAAATGTGTTCAACATGTAGGAACATGTTCTGAACATGTTTTAAACATGTTTTTACATGTTCAAAGCATGTTCAACACATGCTTTAGACATCTGGAAATTATTTGGCAATGCGCTTCCTCTCCATTGATCGACTTCCACAACGATGTGTGCCATGCTGTGTCGAAGCCTCTGCGCATCGCGGTCTCTCTGCAGCGGGACGGCCATTGCCGCAGAGTTCCAAAGGCGGCGCCTTCGCCTCTGCGAGCAGCCTCCTCGCTCGCGCCAGGTACCTCGCACGTTCGCGCGCGCGCGCCCGCGACGGCACGCGCCGAGCGGCGTGGCCTTGCAGGGGATGGGCGCAGGAAGCGGCGAGGGGGACTCGCGCCCCACTCTGTGCAAAGGATCAATTTGACGCCCAGATTGCCCGCCCGGCCCCCGAACAACAACAACAACAGCAGCACCAGCAACAACAACAACAACAACAACAACAACAGCAACAGCACCAACAACCACAACAGCAACCACAACCACAACCACAACCACAACAACCACAATCACTACAATAACAACAACCACAACAACACCACCACCAACAATAACAACATCAGCAACAACAACAATACTTTAATACCGTTCGCCCTTATATGCTCGAGTGTCCAATAACGCGTATTTCCCAAACCCTCGATACCCGCCCTCTTCGTCTTCGATCGAACCCTTTTTGGGGGGTATGCCTTTCTTCCCTGCAGCCGGGCCCCGGCAAGCGGCGGGGCGGCCGCGGACCGTCGGCCTGGCCAGCGGCAGCGCTGATCGGCGGGGCGGCCGCGGACCGTCGACCCGACCCCAAGAGGAACGGACAGGGGACCGACCACGACGACGACGACGACGACGTCGAAGACGACGGCGACGACGACGACGACGGGCGACGACGAGCGAAAGCGAGAGCGAGAGAGAACGACAGCAGGGCCACGAAGGGCACGAAGTAGGCCACGAAGGGCGACAGCGGGGACACGAAGGGAATGCGTATGGGGCCACGAAGAGCGCGAACGAGCGGGGGCCACGAAATGCAGATAATGCGGGGCCACACAAGGCAACTATGGGGCCACTGAGGGTAGCAACTGGGCCACGTAGGACAGTGAGGGCGACACAAATGGCGACAGCGGGGCCTCGAAGGGCATGCACATGGGGCCACAACGGGCGCGACTCCTGGGTGCCTGGGTGTCGGGAGCGCGGCGCTGGGGCAAATTGCAAGAAATTCCAACGCAAGGCTATTCTTCAGTAAGTTGCAAGCAAGTCTCCAGCGCGCGACTCCAGAGCGCCGGGAGAGCGATTCCTGAATAAATTGTAAGGAAGTCCCAAGCGAAAGCGCGATCCTGAATAAAATGCGAGGAGGTCTCGGGCGGGAGCGGGGGTCCTGGCTAAATTGTGAGGAAATCTCAAGCGGGAACCGTTGTTGTTGTAACCCGGGGGCCAGGGGCCCAG